TCAAAATATAGATATGGAGAAAAATTTAAATAACTTTTTAAAATGGAGTCCACCACCACCACAATAGTAGAGTGTGTGTGTATCCTTTATCCTTTGGCTGCCTGCTGCTTAGTATTCATTATACCACTTTTCTATATTCTCTTTAGAATTATGCCACTTTTTTATTTCCTCGTGAGAATTTGAAGATAACCACTCTATCAGTTTCTCTTTGTCTATGTTTAAAAATATTTGAATATTCGTTCCTTACATGTATTTATTAAATCTATCTCTTCATCATTAAATAATACCATATTATCATCATCATTCAACAATTCAACACTCTTTATAATGGACAATGTAGTATCTACCAATTCAATAAGTTTTTGTGAAGCAGACATATTACTGCTTAAGTTTTTGATTTGGTCATCGTCAAATGTAATTTCATTTTTTAATCCATTGTATTTTCTAAATTTATTATAGAACTTATTGTATTCCCTAGCAGGTAAATAAGTACGGAATATCCGAAATACTTTTTTTCTCTCATTCTCATTATTTACAATTAAATTTTCTATTGTTATTCGCTTTAATCTATATACTTTTTTGAGTATTTGCATTATACAAAAACGTTTATCCCGTCTTAACAATACGTCAGCTATATTTAAATCTGGTATTATAATATTAAAATCATTTATATACAATAAGCTAGACTAAATTTTTGTTCTGTTTCTTTAGTTAGGGCTTTTTCATTCAATTCGTACAATACGCCAAGTGTTTGTATTTTAAATACGCTCATTAATAATTTTTTTTGTAAATCACTGATCTTATCCGATAAACTTAAATATGATTTAACATTTTCTATTATGGTTGAGTCTGTTATAGTTAAAAATTTATTAATTTTTTCACTTATATTACGACTAGTAGTAATCATTGTATCATAATCTGTTCCTTCTGTAATTTTATCCGATATATCTGATATCAAATTTTTAATATATGTAAGATATCTTATTAAATCCTCACTTTTTTCTTCGAGTAATTGTGGAAAAGAAAAAGAAAGAGATTTTGAGTTATCATTATTATTATAATAATAGCTAATGCTAGTGCAAATGTTAAAATACATAATATCATATTTCCATCCATTTTTTATTTATTATATATATAATATATATACGACAGGGAGGGTTCTAAAAAATTCTAGGATAGGGACAGGACAGACAAATCGACGAATGACAACGACAACAACGACTTCGACTGACAAAAATATAATTTTAATTTTTAGATTATTTATTTTAAAGCACAACGATATGACCGGACATTCGAGGCCGAGGCGAGGCAGGTAGTTGTCTGTCTGTCTGTCTGTCTGTCCGTCCGTCTGTCCAACCCACCCACCACCATTATATATAAAGAAAGCACAACGATATGACCGGAGAGACACACTTTGACATTTAGGAATCCTATCTGTATCAATCTGGACAAAAAGGAAGAAAGGAAGAAGATGTTTCGGTACGGTAACATGTCTAGAAATATGATAACAGTACCAAGTGAAACTCCGAGGAAAAGTTCTCTATACCTTAAAGAGAAAATATCTTCAAACAAAAAAGCAACAATTGTAATAAGTGGTGGTTGTTTCATAGTTGTATGTCTAATAGTGGTGATGGTGGTGACTTTTGTAACATGTAACTCTGCTGTGACAGCAGAGAAAGAGGGTTTGTTTGTCATACCTTCAGGAAATATAAAGTTTAATCCTAATCAGAAGAGCACGTATGAAGAGGAAATATCTTCTCTAAATCAATTTTTTATAGACTACTACAATGCTACCAAAGCTGATGATACACAGGTGATTACATGTCCCCCAGGATTTGAACCAAATGCTACACAAGTCTGTATTTTGCCAGAGCTTGGATGTAATCCAGAAAATGTTTGGAACTACAACACAACAGCTCCTTGCATCATATTGTCTTACAATGGGACAACTACATTTGATCCTTACGATGACATTGAGGAATTACCCAGCCAGATGCCCAATCTACTTAAAGACCTAATTGCAGAGTTCTGGTACTCTAATACCATGCCAGAGGTTATATGGGTGTCTTGCACATTCGGTAGAATGTACTCCTACTACGCTCCCTTCTTAAATACAAACCTACCAGGCTATCGGAAACCTATAGTTGCATTGAAGCTGATTCTTTGCAATGAAATTAACACCACAGTTGAAATTAATTGCAATATGTGGGCCAAGGGTATTGACAACGAGAAAAACTCTGAAACATCAGTCAAATTCACTGTAACAGTGGAAAAAAATTGAAAAATTTTTAACGTGCGTGCTGGATATATATGTCAAACAGTAAGCCTACTCAAGGCATTTTGTTCCTGTTTCTGTTTCAATAATCCTTATTCAGTGTGCAATTTCTCTCAAAGATAATTTATCAGGTGTTTTTTAAGTAAGTTTTGTTTCAAAAAAATAAAAATATTATATTCTCATATATTTTAGTAAGCTTTTAATTAAAGTTGATTTATATAATAATAATAATGTTGTTTTTGTATCACTTCCCAAATATTTATAATATTTTATACTATCAATGGCTTCAATTATAACTAATTTTAAAAGAACATTAAAATGGTGTTCTTTAATTACATCAGTACATCCAAATACTTGAATTATCACAGACCCATCACCTAAAGATCGATTTCTCCGAAATTTTTTATATATACTCAAAATATTATTTTCATTTTCCATTATAGATTTTAAAATAATTTCTCCTTTAGATGGTGTCCAACAGGAAACTAAACCAACATTATAGTCACTACCAAAAAATATGAAATGTAAAATTAAATATCGGAGACATTGATCACTATTGAACCCCATATGTTTTATCATTGAATTATAATTTCCTAAACCAATTGATTTTCTATTATTAGTACCGAAGGAAGGGTGGATGAGTAAGAGTCTATATTCATTACGTAAAATAGTCATAGCAGTAACATCAGAATCACCACTTATAATTACAGAAAAACTATTGTAAATTTATTTTTCAATAAACGTTTTATTAATAAACCGATAGAGAGCAATTTCTCCTTCGAGTCTTTCATAATAAGATATTCCAGCTGTTGAATACAATTTAAAGTTGTAAGATGATGTATTTATTTATTTAAATATATATTTTTTAATAAATCAGTTGTATAATTTTTCAATTCCAATTTTTGGGATATTGTCATTTTTGAAAAAATATCTCTATTCTTCTCACTACACAATTTCCTATTTTTTTCAACATTCGAATGACCATCCATAACAAAATATAAAATAATTGTTTTATTACTATTATTATTAGAATCATCTCCACTATTTAAAATATGTATAATAACTTTTATATGATTAAGTATAATATTACAGACTTTATGACTCGTTTTCTCAATATCAACAGCTGTTTGTGGCAATAATTTATTATCATCATCATTAGGTACACAGCATAGGCATGAAAAAACATTGACCCATCAATACCTATCACTTGTAAATTATTAATGGATGAAAAGATATTTCCTAAATTTGTAATTAAATGTTCTCTTTTGTCCACAGATAATTCATTCAATTTTAGTTTTTTCAATAAACCTCAAAAAATGCCCCCATGTTATAAGGAAAAAAAAGAAAGTAATTCGTATAATAAATTTTATTTTTAATTAATAATACACATACTCTAATTTCGTACCAGAACACCTTAAAGTAATAAATGGTAGTATTATTAACCACTTTACGGGATTGGATAAAAGCAGCAGAGGAGAGGAGTTTGAAGAAGAAGAAGGAGGAGGAGGAGGATATAATGTTATACGTTTTAAACAATCGTTGTCTAGGCTATAAACAAACGATAAAAATGATACAACCTCCTTCATTGATATGGGATTAATAGAATAACATGGAGAAGGAGAGGTAATACAAACGTATTTTTGAAGAATTTTAGGTCTAATTGTTAGTAGGATTGATTCTAGTTGTCGAAGACTAGAATATCCTCGCCTCTGGGGATCACTCGTTAAAGTTATTTTAGTCCTTTCTTCTTCAATATGAAAAATTACATTTAATAAAATACACTGTCTCCCAGAAGACCTCCACCAACATTGATTTTTAGGAATATTTAACGAAGAAACAGTTTCTAAAAAGCTAGGCCAGATATCAGATATATCTATTTTAGGTATGAGGGAAGTTTTACAGGCGCTAAAATTATATACATAATAACCCATCGACCTGTATTTTTCATATAAACTAAACCGCTCATCTTCTAAATATTTTTCAATTAATCCTTCTATGTATAGACCATCACCACCTTTCCTTTTTACTTGTTTATTTTGTCTTTGAATATTATATTCAATTAATATCGCCTGTATTAAACAATTAATTATCTGACCTTTATCAGAAATAATACCCTCTGATCTGTCTATTGAATGAAGCTGAGGATTGAAATTTGATAGTGGACACATTCGAACACTCTTTCTGGGAAGTTGTTTAAATGGAATAAGAGGTATCAAATTGTAGTAGGACACGTGTGTGCCTGCTTCAGCTGTCAATATACCCGGCTGAATTGTTTCTATAAAAATACCAAAACAATAATGAACGCTGGTTGTTGATTTATAAGTGTGGAGGGGACGTAGCTTTATACTGCGTACAAATTTCTCTTCTTCTTCAGTATCACTTTTATTTTTCATTATTATATTAGTAAACCATTTCTCAGTAATGGTTAATACTTTTTCGGGTACATTAATATTGTGATCGCGTAAAAGAATTAATATATTCTGTATTAATTGCATTTTATCTGTGTGGTTCCTCACATTCATCTTTTTCTTAAATCCACTAATTTTACATTTATCCTGTTTGTCTTTTTCTTGAATAGCCATATAACGTTTCTTACTTATCATGACGAGAACTCCGTGTGAATCTTCATACGCCAACTGTAAATAACGAATATTATCGTTATCCTTTCTTAAATTATCATTATACAGTGAAGCTATAAATGGACCATCACCAACAGTACGGGGTAATGATAGAAACAGAGAGTCGGTATCACCGTATAAAATTGTAGCTCCCTCGCTCTCAAAGAAATTACGCGCCTTATTTAAATGAGAGCGCCCATATCCTGTTACCATCGATGGAACTATTGCATCTTCAAATATTCCTTGGGATGCCATGGCACCATAAAGAGAGTTAACCATGACCTTACATGCATTAGCCTGAGTAGTTAAAGATTTAGATTTCAATATTTTACGTGTTTTAATTAAACTTTCGCATATACGGCGAAAAGGAGACTCGGTATATGGTTGGTCAGTGCGTACCTTCACGCTTAGGTAAATAAAATAGGGATCTTCGGCCATCTCAAGTACATTAAAAAGATCTCGCTCATGCGAAGTTAAACACATAAATGTTTCGCGGGAAATACGAGTCACAAAACCCCGACACAAATTATAATCTATAATAATACTAGGATATAACGAGGCAAAATCTAACACGTGAATACTTGTCGTGGGAGTACTTTTATGAACACCCACAATTGGATCCAAAACAACCGCACCTTTGTATGTATTTTTTTTACCAGTATCCATGTGTTGTTGTTGCGTAAATGTATGTCTTGCATATTTATGAGTCATGTCAAGACCAATTTCTCCCCATAATCCATTGTGTTGTCTTTTCTTAAAAGCAGGTATATTATTAAAATCAATGGGGGCAGTTAAAATTGAATTACAACTATTTATAACAAACCGAAGCACGATATATGTTGTGTTTATATGTAGACATTGATGGGGATCTGTATCCGCTTTTTGAGATAAGTTACAAGTAATTCTCACTAGATCCAAGGGTCCATTTATTTGAGTTACTAGATCTACATCTATAGAACTGTAATACATTAAAGTATCAAAATCCTTTTCATAAATATTAATCTTATTATTTTCTTCGAATGCCTTATACATTTTATTAATTATTAAAATATCAAAATTAACTTTGCCATGTCCTAAAATAGCTTCAGCGAACGCATTGAGACTATCTGATGCTGGCTCTATAAATTTACCGATTGGAAAAAATCGCTTTCTACACAGCATAGTATCAATACTTAATATCCATGGAGGTGTTAAATGGGGTGCCAGAGAGGAGTTACAATAAGATTGAAATGTAAAATAATCAGTCATAATGTAATCCGGTAATAATCCATAAAAAATAGAAGGATTAAATAAAAAGGGATAATCGAAACCATCAGTATTATAACCTGTACAAAAAATACAGCGAGGTCTGGCTAATTCCTGTAAAGTCATCATTATTACTTCCCTTTCGGATGAAAAAAAATCCACCTTTACGGATGATTTTGGATAAAGTAATTCAGTTAATTTATTTTGTGTTTCTATTTCTTTTTGTTTTAACTCATTAGGTGGAAATGGATAATATACTATGATTCGAGTATGAACTTCCCGTAATTGAGATGGGAAATTAGGGAATGTTACCGTCGCCTCCTGGAATGACGATACAATTAAACGATCACTTAAGCTATCTCCCTTAGGGATGGATCCTGATAAATCATGCCGCGTGGCTTCCAAATCAAAAGATCGTATTATGTAAGGAGGAAGATAACGATCCTGATCGCTGCTAATGAATGATAAATAGAGTTTCTTATTACCAGAACTATACTTACTACAAATTTGAAACAAACCCCTTGACTGAAAATTTTAATTTTTATGACGCTCATAATTAAAATAACACTGATAACTATTATAATATTTTCCCATAGCCTCTATGTAAAAAGGATAATAATAAAATTTCAAAAATTCAACCAATTTTAAACACTGACTATCATTCTTGCAAAAAAGACGAGCACCATATCCTTTATATTTTTCATTAATTAAATCATCTATCGAAGCCTCACCCATTATTAAATGAGCAGATGCTTCACCCACGTTATCCCATAGAAAAGAGAAATTGTATAATAATCCCTTTTCAATAAGAAAATTCATACCAACTTCAAACCTAGCAATATCTCGTGTCACTACAGTAATATGAGTATATGATTGACAATCAAAGCTAACACTAATAGGTTGAACGGGAGGCATGTAACCACCATCTTCATTTTGACGAATCAATCTACCTGTAGTAACATCTTCGCCGCTTATATCCAAACGATCCATCGGGATGGGCAATGCGTAAAATTCTTGCTTCTTGATATTCCAAGAATATATCCACACATATTGGTTTATCAGCGATGACATTTTTACATTAGGGGGCGGATTAAAAATCATTGTTCTTCTTCTTCTTCTTCTTCTTCTTCTTCTTCTTCTTCT